AGAAAGACTGGGTAAGAGAAGAAATCAAAATTGAAATTCGAAAATTCCTTGAATCGAATGAGAATGAAAACACAACATAAAGTAGATGTGAATCTGGATTAAAAAATAAGTAAACCAGGTTTCTGAGGCAGTAAATCTTGGAAGTAGATTGCCCCTTCTTCCTTCTGCAGAACGGCTGGTGGGTTTGAACTCCAGCCTTCTATCAGTCAGATGCCTCAGGCACTACACCAGCAGAACTGCTTTGTTCTATTTCCCAATGTTTGTTTTAGAGTAGATGTGAATCTGGATCACTCAAAACTCACTGCTATGGAGTTGTTTCCGACTCATAGTGACCATTCCTTGGGTTTCTGAGGTGGTACCTCTACAGAAGAAGGTTACCCAATCTTCCTTCTGATACAGCAAATTCCAAAACTTCTGTCCTTGGGCCTAAGAAAAGTAATTTTAAAGTAGCTATTGAAGAAGGTTCTGATTGAATTGCATCATTGTATTCCTGAATAAAAAAAATCTGAAATTTACATGAGTGTTTGCTTCTTGTGATACCAGCTAGTGATTTTTGGTGTTTCCTACTGAGGTAGGGTGGGTGCCTGGAGGATAAAAAAGGAGAGCTAGGTTTGCTCTTATATCTGAGGATTCTGATTAATATACGCATACATACACTATTTTTTTTAAGGTTCTTTTGGCTAAGAGTTGTTTGAAAACCACTGACTTGAGCAGTTTTTACTTAGTAACTTTTTTCTTGATTGAGATGAATTATTCCATAGTAAATTAACTGTCAGTTTGGATGCTGCCTAACATTTAATTAATAAGAAAAATGTGTTGCATTGGTCTAAAACAATTTCATTCACAAAAACAATACATTTCAAAATAGCAGCCATTACATGACTAAATTAGTATTTAGTGCATTCAAATCTTTTTAAAAATTATATGCCATAATCACTATTAGAAAATCAATTGGATTGTGCCAGTGAATAATAAATGCCTTCTCAGACACTTAGAAAATGCTCATTAACTTTTGTAAGACACCAGAGTAGGAGTTATCACTGTGTGTGCTTTGGAAACTCAAAGGCAATGACAGAAGAGATGAAAATAGCATAGAAGAAGGGGGAAAAAGAGGAAAGCAGTTCTCAAAGTGTGGTCCTGGGGTATCTGAGAGTCCTTGAGACTCTCATGAGGTCCAAAAAGTTAGAACACATACATTTATATAAAAGGAAAAAATTTTCATAAATGAAAAATATATTTGTAATTTATATGACAGATGATTTCTTTAACATAAAGAGTTATTACAAATAGATAACAAAAGATTAATAACCAAATGAAAAAGGAGAAAAGGTTATTGTAGTTAAGGTTGTGTGTCAGTTTGGCTGGCTGTGATTCTGGGTGGCTTGGCAGCCAGATGTAGTTATTATCCATGATGAGATTGTAATCACCTCCATGTTGGAATCTGCTGTGAGACATTAATCAGTGCAAAGGCAGCTGCCTTTGAGGTGTGACCTGCTTTCAGTATATAAGGAGAAGCTTTGGGAAAGGCTTCTAGCTTTTGGCACATCTAAACCCACTGCCGTCAAGTTGGACCCAACTCATAGTGACCCCTCCTTGGGTTTCTGAGGCAGATCACTGTGGAAGAAGATTGCCCAACCTTCCTTCCGAGGAGTTGCTGGTGGGTTTGAACTGCTAGCCTCTGGTTAGCAGTCAAATGCCTTAGGCAGCACATCTGGACCTTGCTTTTTGCTGAGTCTTGGCTGCCATGTTGCCTGTCTTTCTTAGTGTTGTGCCATTTTACCTGTTGATGTAGCCTCCTAAACTGTTAAGAAAATAAATTCTTGTTTGTTAAGCCGTCCACTTGTGATATTTCTGTTATAGCAGTACTAGAGAATCAAGACAGTTATGAATAAACAGTTCTTAGAAGGACAAATGACTCTTAGTAAAAAGCTCATCTCTTGTAATGAGAAATGTAGTTCATATAGTTCATAACTGTAAAACCAAACTCACTGCCATTGAGTCAATTCCGACTCATAACAACCCCCATTGGGTTTCTGAGGCTGTAAATCTTTACAGAAGTAGATGGTCCCTTCTTCCTTCTGTAGAGTTGCTGTTGGGTTTGAACTGCCAACCTTCTGGTTAGCAGTCAAATGCCTTAGGCGCTGTGGCACCAGAGCTTTTTTCATAACTGTAATAGGATATTTTTCACCTGCAAGATTGGCAGAGATCAAAGAACGCAATGGTACTGTGTTGACAAGGTCAGGGGTCTGCAAGCACATTAATATATGTATATGTATAAATCAAGAAGCCCTGGTGGCATGGCGGTTAAAGTGCTCAGCTGCTAACTGAAAGGTCTGCTGTTCAAGCCCACCAGCCATTGCAGGAGGAGAAAGACTTGATGGCAGTGAGTTAAGTTTTTTGGGTTATGTGTAAATCATATGTATAACCTTTGTGGATGGTAGTGTGTCAATCTGACAAAAATCACAAAAAAAGTCAAGAAAATTTTTGACCCAAAAGTTTCACTCCGAGGAACTTTCTTATAGATGATTATTGTATAATTGTTTTCAGTGATAAAAGATTGGAAACTTTTCCAGTGTCCATCACTGGGATGTTGGTTAAATAGGTATGGTACCTCCGTATAATGGTAGTTTTTTTATATACTGATCTAGATGAAGTAGTCACCAAGATATATTATGTGATAGAAGGTACATACTTGTGTATAGCATACCACTATTTATGGGAAAATATTTTTTAAAATATGTACTTGTATATGGGAGCTCTGGTACCATAGTGCCTAAGGCATTTGCTAATCAGAAGGCTGGCGGTTCAAATCCACCAACCACTCCTTGGAAGGAAGGTTGGACAACCTACTTCCGTAGTGATACTCCCTCAAAAACCCAAAGAGGGGTTGCTATGAGTTGGATCCAACTCGATGGCAGTGGGTTGTTTGTTTTTTTTTTATATATACTTGTATATGTGTGTAACATCTCTGAAAGGACATGCAAGAGATGGATAACAGTGATTCTGTCTAAATAGGGGAGCTAGGGAACTAGGTGCGAAGGAGACTTTGTTTTCACTGTGTATGTTTATTTGTGGATTTACACCTATTAACTATTTTGAAAAGGCAAAATGATATTTTAAAAATCATAAGTCAGTAGAAGTAGAATAGATAGTGATCTTGGTGGGAATAGATTCTGATTTAGATTTCTTTTCACTGGGATGTTCTGTGACTGTTTTTCCTTTGAAGCTTTGATCTCCTTTCTGAGATAATTTTCCATGTTGTGCTCCTTGTCCTGTAGTTAGGAAAAATGAGGCTGACAATCCCATGTCGTGCAGTCACTTGTACACATCTGCAGTGTTTTGATGCTGCTCTTTATCTACAAATGAATGAGAAGAAACCCACTTGGATTTGTCCGGTGTGTGACAAGAAGGCTGCCTATGAAAGTCTAATATTAGATGGGTATGTATCCCTTCTAACAGCTGTTGATTGTGTCTCCATTCAGTGCAGCCTCACATCCATTCTCTAGCATAAAAAACAGATGTTCTTGTCTTTTCTGCTTCGTTCTTAACTATTCTCTATCTTCTAATTTTATCATGGCAAAATATATATAACATAAAATTTGCCATTTTAACCATTTTTAAGTGTATAATTTATTGCCATTGATTATATTCACTGTGTTTGTCACCACTGTTTCCAAAATGTTTTATCACTGCAAACAGAAGCTCTGCATTCATTAAGCACTAACTTTCTCTCTTTCCCTCACCCCAGCCCCTGGTAGTACCTAATTTACTTTCTGTCTCTATGAATTTGCCTAGTCTAAGTATTTTATGTATGTTAGTGGAACTACCCAATATTTGTCCTTTCATGTTTGGTTTATTTCACTTAATATTTTTCAGATTCATCCCAGGTTGTATGTACTAGAACATCAATCTTACTTTAAAACTGTGGCTAGTGGCTTTATAATACGATTTGTGTAATTTCCTTTTATTTTTGCTTTCTAAGAACATATTTCATATCCCATAGGAAAGTCCATTTAATGACACTCTTTTGCTTGCCTAGAACTTCTTGAAAAGGCAGCTATGATCTAGGCAAAAAGAAAGCAAAGGAAATGGTAGGATAGATACAGTCACATTATGCAGATGGTAAGTACGAAAGTGGAATTCACCCCCAGGGTTTTTTTTCCCCCTTGTCTTTTTTCTGCCCTTCTGTTCTCCCATGACTGATCACTCCGGAGTGTGTCTGCCTGATGTAAATGTTCACCCCATTTTCCTGTCTCTTTGGCTAGAAACCACAGGAGTGAGTTCAGTTCCAGACCTGAAGGGTGTCTAGGGGCCATAGTCTCAGGGGTCTTACCAGGCTCTCATGCCAGCAAACCTGGTCTTTTTTTTATGATTATGAGTTTTGTTCCACATTGTTCTCCCACTCCTTCCAGGATCTCTTGCACCGATCCCCTTGCAAGTGGTAGACACCATCTGGTTCTTCTACTCCCAAGGTTTTTTTTTGACTCTAAAGGCCAATTTTAAGCATTATCTCACATATCATACTATATATGTCAGAATTTGGAAAATGGTATATATCCTAATTATCAGTGAGTGGGGATATCCACTTTTTACAAATAACACTTTTTAAAAATTGCATATGTAGTACATGCTCTAAGATTTTTAAAATACAATTAATAAAAAGGTTAAAAATCATCAACAATCCCATTGTACAGTGAAGGCTTTCTTTTTGATATATTGAAAAGATTGAAATCGTACTCTATATAATGGTTTGTGACCTACATCTTCATGCAGTATATAGTGAAAAATAACTTAGACTTTAAGAATATTTGTACAACTTTTTGACTTACGTTTAAGAGTTTATTACTGTAACATGGAGAAGTGGGGCAATGAAATGTGGATGCAGCTTTCATTTTTCTTTCAAACTTAGGGTGTGCTGGGTTTTTACTTTTTTAGGTTGAAGTACTTTCAAACTCACAGAGAAGATGCAACAGTGACACAAAGAGCTTTCTGTGTAACTTTGATCTAGAGGCAGCAGTTGCTGTTTTGTTCTGTTGATCAAAGTATTAGCCATAGAAAGCTATTGATTACTGGATTTGCATTAATATATCTTAGTTTTCTTGACCAGTATCACAGTTTATTTTTCCATACTCACTTGGGTAAAAGTATTGTTAAATTACACAAACCAGTCTTGTGTTAATTTGGTTGGAATTACGTTAAATTTTTATATAATTGGAGGAAATAAACATCTTTGAAGTATTACATCTTCTCATGAAAGAGGCATTTTATTCCTATTCATTTTTATATGTATTATTGGGGTATAAATGACAAACAGAAGAACTGTACATAAAGTGTACAATGTACAGTCTGATAAATTTTGACCTGTGTATACACCTGTGAATCATCACCAGAATCAAGATTATGAACATATCGTGACACCCACAATTTTCTCATATATCTTTCTGATCTCTCCTACCCTGTCCCCAGGTAAACACTGATAAGCTTTCTGTTTGTATAGATTAGTTTGGATTTTCTGGAATTTTATATGAATAGAGGCATAAAATACATGCTTCCTTTGTCTAGCTTCTTTTACTTAGCAAAGCTCTTTTGACATTCATCTGTGCTGCTGTCTATAGCAGTGGTTCATTCATTTTATTGCAGACTAGCATTCTGTTTGACAGATGTACCACAGCTTGCTAGGGTTGTTTCTGATTTTGAGCTATTACAGATAAAGCCACTGTGAACATTCATGTCTATGTTTTTGTGTGGACTGGTTCTTTCATTTCTCTTGTGTAAATACATAGGCATAGAATTGCTGGTCACATGTTAGAGTTATGCTTGACTTTTTAAGAAACTACCAAACTTCATTTCTTTGTTCCCACTAGCAGTGTATGAGTTCCACTTGTTCCACATCCTCACCGCCATTTGGTATGGTGGTTGTTCTGTTGTTATTGTGTGCCATCAAGTCAATTCTGACTCATAGTGACCCTTTAGGACAGAGTAGAACTGTTCCCATAGGGTTTCTTAGGCTGCAGTCTTGATAGAAGGAGCTTTAGAGGCACAATGATTAAGCACTTGGCTACTAACCAAAAGGTTGGTGGTTTGAATTCACCAATATCTCTGCTGAGGAAAGACCTGGAAATCTGCTCCTGTAAAGATTGCAACTTAGGAAACCCTATGGGAGCAATTGTACTGTGTCATACTAAAGTCACTATGAGTTGGAATCAACTTGACAGCATACAACAACAACCATCTTTACAGAAGGAGGTTGACATGATTTTTCTCCTGAGAGCGGCTGCTGCCAACCTTTCACTTGGCAGCTGAGCACTTAACCGTTGTGCCACCAAGGTTCCTTTTGATATGGTTACTTTTTAATTTTGTACATTATAGCGGACATGTAGTTGGAACCCATTATATACTGTGAATTTTGTATTTCCCTTACGACAGTTGTATTAAACATTTTTTCACATGTTTATTCCCAGTCAGTATCATTTTTGATGAAATGTCCTTTCATACTTTCCCACATTTTTTAATTGGGTGGATTGTTTTCCTATTACTGAGTTTTGAGAATTCTTTATATATTCTAGGTATAAGTCTTTTAATCAGATATATGATTTGCAAGTATTTTCTGCCAGATTATCTTTTCAGTCTTTTAATAGTGTCTTTCAAAAAAATGAAATTCTTAATTTGGATGAAGGGCAGTTTATAGTTAGAATGGATTGGGCTTTTGGTGTCATATTAAGATACTTTCCTTAACCCAGAGTCACAGAGATTTTCTCTGTGCTTTATTTAGGAGTTTTATAATTTTAGTTTTATGTTTAGATCTATACTGTATCAGGTTAATTTTTGCATATAGTATGTGATAAGGATCAAGGTTCATTATTTTCAGTATATGATTATGCACGTTTCCATTTGTTAAAAATTATATTTTCCTCATTACATTTCTTAGCACCTTTTTGGAAAATCAGTTGATCAGAAATGTATAGATCTGTCTCTGATATTTGTCACTGTATCAGTACTGCACTGTGAAAAATAGATAGTATATTTTTGTCCTTGTCTACTAAATCTATTATTACCTGTTTGGTTTCTTATGGCTGATTTTTCTATTTTATTTTTCTGCTTATTTGTATGCCTGGTAGTTTTTGATTGGGACATATTTCAGTTTCTTAGAAACAGTTAAATTCTTTCAAGGCTTGCTTTTAGTCTTTCTTGGGTGGCACCAGAGAAGCCTTTAGTCCAGAGACAGTAGGGTAGAGTAGAGCTTGATTAATTTTGACCTATACGTACACCTTCGTGCATCCGTGAGTACTATATCTAGTGTACTGTTGTAAGGTTTTCCTGCCAGGCTTGTGACAGTACTTAACTATGCCTAGCCCTGTGTGACTTCTGGGGATTATTGCCTTGCTTTTCGGGGGGTTGTTCTTTCCGTGATCTGGGAGAGTTTCAGTACATACACGCCTTGGTCAGTACTCAGTTAAAGACTGAGAAGTAAACCTTGTGCAGATCTCTGGAGCTCTCTCCGTTCACCTTTCTCCAGTCTGGCACTCTTGTCCTGTGAACTCTAGCTTTCTTGGCCTCCATTTACTCTCAAATCAATCTTCTCCATTTAGGAAGACAACTAGTCTCTCCTTTGGGTTCCCTTTCCCTATGCCGCCACCTGAAAATTCTCTTCAGATATTAAATGGAGGCACTTGTATGGCTCATGTCTTTTATTTCCCATTCTCAGGGGCCGCTATTCTGTGATGCCTATTGTTCACTGTCGGAAAAATCATTTTCTGGGTTTTAATTGTTTAAGGACAGAGGGTAAATTTGGTCGCTTTTACTTCATTTTCACCAGAATTGGAAATGACACCCTTTTTGAACACATTTTTCACAAAACTAATACTTCTGTTTAGAAAGTTTTTTTTTCCCCTTCTCATCAGTAATGGGAGGAGGTTATGAAGTATATGACTGATTGCCTCTATGAATAATTGCCTTCTCTGCCTTGAGGCCAGAATTGGCTAATGGCTGGCTACCATTTCTGAACATTTTGATCAAAGATTTCATAGTAGAATCCTGATCTAAAGGGGGAAGATACAGAACAGAATTCAAATTCTCATGGACTTTAGACTTCCTGGAGCCAGAAGAGGGTAGATGAGTCCCTGAGACTTACCTTGAGGTGATCTTTAAACCTTTAACCAAAAATATCTCCTGAAGTAATCTTAAAATTGAACAAAAGTTTAGCTTCACTGTTAAAAAAAGGTTTGCCTTTAGCATTATGTTCTTTCAAAAACTGTGTATGGGATCAAATTGACAACAACTGGAAATATTAAATAGGAACCTTAGAGGACAGTGAGTTTATGTTAACGAGAGAGGAAAAATTCTCTTTTCTAAAAATGTTGAGAATGGTTGAACAACTCAAAGAATATAATTGATGTTACTAAATTGTACATGTAGAAACCCTTAAGTTGGTGTATATTTTCCTGTGTATTTTCTCAACAACAAAAAAATAAAATTAAGAAAAAAAAATTTTTTTTTTCTCTAATAATAATTCTACTCTTCCAAGTACTAACAATTTAGGTGATCACTGAGACGTTGTCTGTTACACATTTGAAAATAGTATATTTAAGGTCTTGGTAAAGATGTCAGCTAGCATACTTGACTATCACCACCATAGCCTCCATCAACTTTAGTTGACCATTGAACAGTGCAGAGGTTGGGGATGCCAACCCTTCATGCGGTCAGATATCCATGTATAACTTTTGACTCACCAAAAATGTAACTACTCATAGCTTACTGTTGACCAGAAGCCTTACTGAAAACAGTTGATTAACCCAGTTCTTGATACACACAAAGACACACACACAACAGATAGGTTTATTAACTGTGCAGTGTGATGATGATTTACTATTCATTAAGTGGAAATGGATCATAATAAAGGACTTCATCCTTGTCATCTTCACATTGAGTAGACAGAGGGAGAGAAGGAAGAAGAGAGGTAGGGTGGGCTGTCTCAGGTGCCAGAGATGGAGGGAGGTGGGAGGGAGAGCAGGAGAGAGGTGCACTCAGTGTAACTTTACAAAAATATGTTGTAATTTCTGTCTCTTGCTTTTTCATTTCTCTGAAAATGTTTCTGTGTGGCACCAATCCTTCTACCATTTGCATTGCTCTCAGTGCTCATATCATAGAAAAGTCCATGTCCTAAAAGAAATCAAAGCAGTATTGAATAATTTGATCCCTCTGCCAGATTGTCTAATGTCCACTTGTTTTCTGGCACTGCTGCTTGTATATCTTCTTCCTCCTCATCTGGCACTGGTTTGGAAGCACTCATCTCCATCAAGTCATCTTCTGTTAATTCCTCCAATGTGGTGGCAGTTAGCTCTTGAATTTCTACAAGCTCCATATCTTGAAAAAAGTACATATAAAATGGACCCATGCAGTTCAAACCTGTATTGTTCAGGGGTCAACTGTGCTTAATTTTTAGAAGTTAACATTGACATGAAGACAAGTTCTTCTTGGAACTCTTCTTTACTTATACAGTATCTTCAGTATAATTTCCCATTGATTGGCCTTGTGGATAAGAAAATTTACTACTTTAAGAGTGTGGGCTCAGCACAACTCTCATAAACACATTCACAACACAAACACATTCTCACACTCTCATGGGCATTTTTGTCTACAGATTTTCTTACGAGGTTACATCGTCCATACTGTATAATAAAAAATAAAAACTTCTTTTGTTACTCACTAACAGTTTATTTCTGGCCATTTCCAAACATTTGTGAGTTTGAATTACCAACGTAGTGTACCTCCTAGGGGTCTTTGTGCTTCCCAGTGATAGAATGTAGAGACTGCGAAAGAACTGCCCCCTTCCAGGTATGTGGAATCACACTTGGGGGTTAAGTATAATACATCCTGGGAACAGTGTAAGTCAGCATATATTTAATGTTAGATCTTTAGATACAATACTACTTATTCTTTGTAACCATAATTCACTTTTTTTTTTATTTGTAAGCTAATATGAGTCATTATGAATGGTAATTTCTAAGAGTTGTTAAAGAGATTTGGTTTTCTTTAGGTCTTTTTATTACCCAACAATTTTTATTTTCTGTAATCCAAATTTGAGGTGATTTTAGGCAACTTTATTATTTGCATCAGTATTATAAGTGAATTTAACTTTTAATGTTACTCCAAGCTGTCACATTATCTAGCTCTCTCTCGTTATGATGCGCTAGGCTTAACTCAAGTTGTGTGATTATAGTGCTGTCAGGAGTTTCTATTCCTCACTCCCTACTCTACTCCCGTGATCTTTTTTTTTTTTTATATTAAGCTTTCAAATTATTTTTTGTGTAAGGACCTTTATGTTTGCTTGTGTTTCTTTTATGTGTTGGCTTGGATGTAGTTCTAACTGGTGATTGCAGCTAGGAAACTCCAGGTGTCTTTCTGTTTAGCCACTGATTGTTTTTGGATTATATCTGGTAAGTCACTTAACTTTGTTATTGCCCATTAAAAATCTGAAACTTAGGTGTGGTGAGTAGAAAATATTTGTTGTAAAGTGTGAAGTATTGAAATACATTTAAAAAAATTAAAGAGAATTGCTTTTGTCTCTAGCATTATTTTATTATTTCCTCTTTGTACAAAGCCATTGATTGCATTTTTGTGCTTCTTAATTTGTTTATAGGCTTTTTATGGAAATTCTCAATGACTGTTCAGATGTGGATGAAATCAAATTTCAGGAAGATGGTTCTTGGTGTCCAATGAGACCAAAGAAAGAAGCTATGAAAGTTTCCAGCCAACCGTGTACAAAAATAGAAAGTATGTTCGGAGAGCAAAGCCATGAGGCTTTTTATCATTAACCTTCACCACTAGAACTCCATTCAGCACTCAGTTTGCTAACTTTATCTTTGATCATCAACTACATGTATAATTTTCCCCAAATGAATTTTATTCTTTCCTTAGGAAATGTGCTAAAATTTATATCATCTTATAATCAGCTTTCTCATAGAATATTTTTAATATATAAAGTCATTAAAATAACTACCTTAAAACTATTTTAACATGTTAATTATTATAAAATGAAAACTTGCAGGTGACATTTCTATGGAAGTTTTCCAGAATTATCGTTAGAGTACCTGTTTGAGTACTATGTTGGGAGAATCCCAGGTGGAGATGTCCTTTGACAGGACTAATTATCTAATGGAATTGTAGGTTAATTGCTACGAAAGTAAACAAATTGTTTCCTTCTGTTTCTTTGTATGAAGGAATTTGACTATTACATTCGTTTCTCACAGGGCTTTGAAGCAGTTAGAACCAGTTCAGTAATGGCCAGCACAGCCATTTTTGAACAGACCCGAGTTTGTGAAATATGGATGTACCAGAATGATAACCAGAACGGGAAAAATTATGGTTTGAAGCCCTGGAATGAGGGTCTTGGAGCATAGTGAGCCCTTTCAGGACCCTGATTTGGGAGACTGGCTTATTGCCAGGACCAGAGAACGGCATACATTTGGCTACCAACTTTGGGCCAGGCACCACTGTTTCTGACCGTGCTGTTCAAGAGATTTGGTTGCTATGCAACACACATACTATCCTTAATTTCTAAGAGGGAGATTAAGTAGGATGTCAACCCACAGTTTTCCCCATTCTAGTTATTTTGATAAACTCACATTTTACAAAATTGCATTTGTTCCAGTTTTGCTTCATTAGCCATGACTGGACCAAGAAGAATCAGTTCAAAGCCCTGGTTTCCTAGGAGGTATACTCAACTTTGAGCTCTGCATCTGTCCATACTGAGGGGGAAATAAGGGTGGTTTGAGTAATTGAAACCCAAAAGTTTTTTTTATCTAGCACTTTCTGTTTGTGCCATTTGAATTTTGTTCTGACTATATTTGAAGTTCTAATAAAGTAATGAATAATAGCTATTCAGAGTGAGAAAAAGAAAAATATTAAGGATTTATGCCAATATTTATTATTTCCCTGTGATTGATAACTTAACCTAAGACTGGAGCAACCAGATTCCTTCTTCTTTGAGAAAAATTGAGTGATTTGGATCTTGAGTAGCTGCTGCTTTTCCATTATCAGCATTCATTTTCTACTGACTAGATTGCACTTTGTACTAATGTACTTCTTTCTGAAATGGTGAGTTGACATACAGTGGGTGAGACTGTCATAATGGGCAGAAAGGAGAACCTAGGTGATTAGTAGATAATTGATAAGAAAAGCTTTACATGTCTGAATAACATAGGTATTAAAAGTTTGGATTTTTTTTTCCCCCAACTTATCAAGGTAAAAATTTTTATAAAGTTCTGGATTTTAGTGAAAAGTATGTTCTTTGATAGGAACCTTGATTTTTCTGCCCCATCCCCACCCCCATGCAGGTTCAAGTGTTCTCAGTAAGCCTTGTTCAGTGACTGTAGCCAATGACGCAAGCAAAAAGAAAGTGGATGTTATTGACCTAACAGTAGAAAGCTCTTCTGACGAAGAGGAAGACCCTCCTGCCAAAAGGAAGTGCATCTTTATGTCAGAAACACAAAGCAGCCCAACCAAAGGGTTTGTTAATTTATAGTTCACTATTGATCATTATACTTGCAACTAAGTGTTCTTGGGATAGATCTGTAAATGTCTTTTTGAGGTGTTACATAGCCATAGAGGGTTATTTTAATTTGCTTTTATTCAGTTGAAATATTTTCAAATAAGCATATTGTTTATAGGAAAGCAAATTTAATGAAGAAAATTTTTCCATCTTTGGGAAGTGAGAGCTTGAGATCTTTTTCATGTCTAAATATTTATTTCATACTTGAAACTTTCGTCATTTTCTTGAACCCATTTGTAAGGAGTAAATTTGGCATCTCAGATAAACATGAAGAAGCCTGTTATAATGGAGTGTGGAATCTGACAAATGTAGATTCAAATTCTGGCACACCACTTACTTATTTTCTGTGATCTTGAATGGATTATTCACCTTGCTTGAGCCTCCTTTTTTCTGTTCTGTAAAATGGGATTAAATTATGCCTACCTTACAGGATATTGTCAAATTTCAATGAGATAATGAAGAGTTTAGCTTCGGTGTCTGGCACATGGTAGTTTCTCAGTAAAAAACTGATTCCTTTCCTTTCCCACTCTCTGCAAGGGAACATGTGGGCAAGTAAATGCATTCTAGAATATATTCTTTATGATTTGTCTGGCAGAAGGCATTACTGACAGGCCTGAGTGTTTAGCAATAGGTAGTTCCTACAGTGAGATTTTGAAAACCTGCAAGGAAGGAGCAGGGGTTCTCCTGACATGCTATGTGTACATTCTTTTAAACTTGAGTTTTCCATCTGTGTAAATTAAGTTGTAGTTACCCAGATCATTCCATGAAGTCGACTCGATTTATATAACACCCATGCAGCAAAAAACCTTATGAAACAGGCTCATGCAGAAACACAAATAAAAATTCTGAATTCAGTTTTAGGAAATCATTCAACTATGTATTAAAATGACATCCACTGCCACCAAGTAGGGTTTATTGTAGGAATGTGTTGTTGTTGTTCGATGCCGTTGAGTCATCTCCAACTCATAGCAACCCTATGTGCAGCAGAATGAAACACTGCCCGGTCCTGTGCCAGCTCCATGATCCTTGCTATACCTGAGCCCATCATTGTAGCCACTGTATCAGTCCATCTTGTTGAGGACCTTCCCCTTTTTCGTTGACCCTCCACTTTACCTAAAGCATGACATCCTTCTCCAGGGAATGGTCCCTTCTTACAACATGACCAAAGTAGGTGAGACGAAATCTGGCCATTCTCACTTGCAAGGAGAATTCTGGCTGCACTTCTTCCAGGACAGATTTGTTAGTTCTTTTAGCAGTCTGTGGTACTTTCAGCATTCTTTGCCAACACCATAACTCAAAAGCATTGACAGGAATATGTTAACATTAGGAAATATATTGATAAAATGGATCTGGCCATCTTAATAGATGCTGAAAAGACATTTGATGAATTAAATAATCATTCCTGAGAAGCTCTTTAAAACATAAGAGTTCATTGAGTAGGTTGATGGGATCAGCACTTAATTTGTTCTTACACAGTAATATAAGAAGCATGGTGTCCAGGATATGAACCATGCCAATTTTCTCTATTTTGGGCCATATGGCTCTCACTCAGAATATTATAATCATTGCTGATCATCAGGAAGAGTATTAATAGATAATTACAGCCTGAGGGAGTGAGAGGGACCAGGGTGGTGAATATGGAAGTCATAGCATGATGGGTGAATGGGTCTAAAGACTGAGGAAGATATGCCTGAAAAGAGGATATGTTATAGCCACCTTGTCTGACTCTTAAAATTGAAGAGAGCCATTCAATAGCTGGATTAAGTTATTCTCTGTTATGACACTTGGCAGGTTTAGGTCTAGGAAGAAAAATACATGGGAAAAGCTTTCCATTGGGCTTTCTGAGTACCAGGAAAGTTGATGTTTAATCATGGAGATGGAGCGGAGGCCCCTGTGACAGTATCATAGTGGAGACTTGTGTTTGGGTATATTACTTCTGCTGTCCCTTCCACCTCTCATTTCTTCTGTGATTTTGTTCCTGTCATCCTTTTCCTACCCCTTCTGTGGCTCAACATCTAAACTTTTTGTGGTTTTCTTCTGCTGTATAAGTTTAGCATAGAAGTTCTGGGTCAGTGATTGTAAACAAGTGTGAAAGAGAATGAGAAACCAAGAAAACGTATTTTAAACTTACTTTTACTTCAGAATTTATGTGAAAAGCTACTTTTTCACTTACTGTTGTAGTGAAAATTATAAACAGTATTTACAAATCACCAAGAAGAAAGTAAAAGCCATTCCATTCTATTGTTAATATTATGATGGCTGTTCTTTTAGCCCCTTTCTTTGAATTTCTACTATAGTATTTAAATGCAGTCAAATAATATTGAGCATTTTGTAACTCAGAAAAGGCTCTTTCGAAGAAATTTTTTTACCGTCATTTCATTGTGATAAAAGTTCGTTGAAGCTATAATGATAAGTGCTAACATTAAGGAAAAACTGTTTATTTAAGAATAGCATAGTTTTATCTTGACTAATAATTTTTTTATACTGGAGTAATAGTATTTGTGTAAGATAATATGTGAAGGAGCCTTAGTGGTGAATGGTTAAATAGTTGACTGCTAACCGTAAGGTTATAGTGGTTTGAACCCACCCAGTGGCTCTTCAGGAGACAAAACCTGGCCCTCTGTTGCCCTAAAGATTATAGTTTAGAAAACCCTATGTGGCGGTTCTCTGTCACATTGGGTCATGCTGTGAGTCAGAATTTACTCAACTGTACCTAGCAACAACAACAAAAACCAAGAATAGTAGTTAAGAAACTGGTATATTAGTCCAAGCCTTTTACAAAACATCTTTTTTTTTTTTAAACATTAGAAGAGAATTTTAAAAATTCTCCCATCCCACCCCCTGGCTGTTGAATTACTGCTTTGTCATTAATAAGAAGGTATTCTAAAGACAGGAAACAAAGAATAGGGATAAATATGTATGTCACTGGATTAAGAACAATCAGGGATTGGTAATAAATAAAATTGGATTTCATTTATATTTTTATGATCATACTATGGACACACATAGAGAATTCTAGGTTTGTGGGTAAGAGTTGAGATCATTGATTGTCTGCCCATCTAAATATGGGCCAAATATGATGGATTCCATGGAGTTCCTTGAGCACAGTCTGGAATACTGATATCTGCTACTTGGCAGCAGTCCAATAATTTTACTTCTGAGTCCTAATATTGTGGTTGAAAGCCATAAAATTTTTAAATCACTGTGTACACATGCATAATGTATACATATGCCTGTGTGTTTGTATTTGCCAGTCTTAGGTGGAGAAGATAACATATTTAAAAGATTTTAAATACTTTTCTCATTAGCTTATAGCATCACATTTTTACACCTGTAATTTCATTAGACATAGCCATTTACATCTCTCCGTGGTTTCCATTATTTCACATCTAGAAATATATATTCTTTTTTCATAGACTTTAGAATAATTTTCCTATCTGAATATGATTCTTGTGAAGATTGTGATTAAAAATAAAAAATATCTACCAGTATGGAATTTAACAGTTTAGTCCAATTAGACAACGAAATCTAACCATGCTCTGGAGAGTTGAATTTGTGTGAATGGTTGCAAAGTTCAGGTAATAGGAATTACCCAAACTAAATAATTTAGTTTTTCAAATTTTGCTGATATTATTGACATTAATTTAATAACTTGAAACCTCACTGGATTTTGATATTTTCTCCTGATGCAGCAGTCAACATTTTCTTTTTGAAGGAACAAATTTTTTAACCATTTAAAGAAAAGTTTCGTGTCGTTACGGTGACAGAACATATGCAATAATTAAGTGTAAGGAAAGATACTAGGAGCTTTGTTGTTGCTTCCTGTAAATATGATCAAAGTTAAAGGTTAATTCAGAGTCGACAAAAAGAAAATCTTCAGTATGAGATGTCAAAAGAGAAGAGGCTGGGTTGAGAGAGAGCATTGACTCTTTCTTGGACACCTGAAGCTTTTCTTTCTGTTTTTCAGTGGCTGAGGAAAAGTGACGAATTAATTGTACTTTTAAGTAGGAGTTTTTGAAAAACGTGTGTGTGTGTGTGTGTGTATTATTTATGTGTATATGTTGTTATGTGCCCTCGAGTCGGCCTCGACTCATAGCGACCCCTCCTTGGGTTTCCGAGTTGGTATCACTACGGAAGTAGATTGCCCAACCTTCCTTCCAAGGAGTGGCTGGTGGGTTTGAACCGCCCGCCCTCTGGTTAGCAG